ACGGAACTCTGGAGGCAGGGAACGACGAGGTACGTTATTTCGATCCAGTTGTTGTTTCATATAGGCTATCATCCGTAACAATGATCATAAGGGTTAGGGATTCAGGATCAATAACTCTTCAGGTCTTTGATTGCGGGTAGAGAAAAGGTAGGCTGAGTGGAAACTGATTGCTTCTGGGTACAACGATCTTGATGTGTGGGTATGGATTGGGAGTATGGATACAAGGTATCAACCTCTCACGATCATTCTCTCTATACTCCATCTAAACGATGATAGGTACCTTTGATTTGAGCTTGCTATAATCAATTGTCATAGACTACACCGATCATATCTCATTATGCATCTGATAAAGCATAAGTTCTCAAACTAACAACGATTCAGGGCTCGAATGTCATCGAAGGCGATAACTTGATCCATCGATAAGGCTTGTGTGGCGGTAAGAATAGCAGGGAAAGCTTGTCTTAACTCCGATGAGTCTTACGCTTGGTCATTGGTAAGAGAAAGGATCCTTGGACACCCGTCTTATTGAGGGCTAGCCAACGATAAGACTAACAGGGAAATCCTGCCTTATCAGTGACTGGTCTGATATAAGAATAATGAGGTTTCAAGAACACCTGCCTTATCATTAACCAATCCAACATTCTTTTCAGTGGTAAGAGTAGCAAGGATCCTTTGACACCCGCCTTATTGAGGGCTAGCCAGTGATAAGAGAAGCAGGGAAATCCTGCCTTATCAGTGACTAGTCTGATATAAAAGTAGTGAGGTTTCAAGGACACCTGCCTTATCATTGATCAACCTAACATTCATTAAGTGGTAAGAGTAGCAAGGATCCTTTGACAACCGCCTTATTGAGGGTTAGCCAGTGATAAGAGTAGCAGGGAAATCCTGCCTTATCAGTGACCAGTCTGATATAAGAGTTGCAAGGTTTCAAGGACACCTGCCTGATCAATAAACATCCTAGCACTTAGTCAGTGATAAGAGTAACAAGGATCCTTGGAAACCCGCCTTATTGAGGGCTAGCAGTGATAAGAGTAGCAGAGAAATCCTGCCTTATCAGTAACTAGTCTGATATAAGAGTAGTGAGGTTTCAAGGATACCTGCCTTATCATTAACCAATCCAACGTTCTTTTCAGTGGTAAGAGTAGTAAGGATCCTTTGACACCCGCCTTATTGAGGGCTAGCCAGTGATAAGAGAAGCAGGGAAATCCTGCCTTATCAGTGACTAGTCTGATATAAGAGTAGTGAGGTTTCAAGGAC